ACCTTAATATTGAGCAGACATTCAAAGAAGATTTTCTTCTCTTCTTTGGTAAGAGCGTAGCTTGCATGACCCTGATGTATGCCGTCTTTTCCGTGCATACGTTGCTGGCCCTCCTGTGCCTCAGGTGTATCTTTTGTCTTCCCATACACGCCCAAGAAGCCAAGCAGGGTCACACAAAGATTCTTCGTCACGTGCATCACGTCGATTGCGGAGCGGACCTCTAGGTCTTTCCAATAGGGCAGGTCCCAAAATATAGATTTCTTCTTCCACATGGGTGCGCATCCGTCAGCGTCATTCGGAACAGGTTGTCCACCAGAACCCTTTTCAAAGACCACCTTCAAATCGTTGACCATATCATGTACATCAGCACCAGTACGGTGGCGAGGCTTCGTCCGGTGATCCGCCTCACCTTTGAAATGCTTGCCTTTCTTTTTTACGGGATGCCTGCTCGGAAGAAATCGACGATGTCCCAGGTACATATTCTTCTTACAATTAGCCAAATATATACTGTTGGTATAGTCCAAACAGTGCGTGCATGCGCGGTATCCCTTGTTTGTCTGTCCTGAAAGGTTACTGAGAGCAGGCCAATCATTGATGGTCACGAACAACAATGCCTTTAGGTCAAATTCTTCCCCCATGTGCTCATCCCACACCGTACACCTGTTCTATTCCACAGTTGTAAGAGTTCTTCAACTAATGGCCTTAGGTACAGATCAATGTCGTTGTCGGGTTGCTTAGGGCCTTGTATGAGCACTGGCATCATAATGAACTTCCGCTTCATGCACAACCAAGGAGGAAGGTTATACAAACATAGAGTCACAGGCCAGGTGCTATGGTTGCTGCTCTGCTCCCCAAAAGGATTAATGCCATCTGCGCTTAGACCAAACCATACGTTCCTTGCGTCATCTGCAAACTCCTTCCCGTACTTTCTTTCGATTTTTCTCCACTGCGACCCGTCAGTGGGTACTCTCAACTTTCCGTCTTTCTTACGGTCTTCTCTGTGCCATCGCATCGCCTTGGCATGCTCTTTGTTTTGGAACAAACATTTCAACCGTGGTATTATAGGAGCATACCACATCACCTTGGCAGGGATCTTTTTCCTGGGGCGCTCGCCCTCGACATCACCAGGGTCATTGCGGCTGATCTTATAGCACAATGCACCGCATACCGGGTAAGCGTTCAAATCCTCGTACTCACCGCGGTAGAGGATGCAATCATTAGGGCATGCATGTATCTTCTGCACCTCTAACCCTAGAGGGCAGACAACCTTCTTTGCTTCGTACGTACTCTCGGGCAATTCATTGTCCCTTGGAAGCATATTCTTTATCATTACCAGCAACTTTCCAAATCCCTTGTCAGATATACCATTCTTTGCCTTCCATTGTAGCAATTCCAGTGTGGTGCCCAGCTTTTTCTTGTCACCTACGCAATTCGGGTACACCAATTTTTTGTGATCCTCTAACATGCGCTACAACTTCTTCTTCTCCAAATCACTTGCGCAGTTTCTCTTTGCATCGGCAATGGCCCGACCTAGATCATCAACGGGCTCATCCGATGCCTCTTCTTCAGCTTCTTCCCGCATTGCTGGCTCAGCTTCTTCCCGCATTACCGGCTCAGCTTCTTCCCTCATTGTTGTATCGTCGTATTCAGGGAACCCATGGCTAGGATAGCTGTCGTCGTCCTCTTCTTCTTCATTGTCTTCCATCATAACCCTTCTTTCTCCATGCTTGGTCCAAACATTATAGTGAGGCATGAAACCGGACTCAAACAGGTGGACGTGAATGATTCTTGACGTAGAGTAATTGTGACCATTCTTACAGCCAGCACATGAACAAGGCATAAAACCATCCGCCCGCTTGTTTGCCTCAGCCGCAAGAAGAAAAGTATGCACGCCATTAATGAACTCGGGAGAGCATCGGTCATCGTACATCCATTGCCGGCTCATCTTCAATACACAGCACCGAAAACACCAAATTAATACAATACATAAAGTTCATACAATACTTAAATGCAACAAACAAATAACTCTCTAACTAAAGAATTTAAATGCAACAACAAATGCGATCAAGATCGCAACTAAGGTAACAATTGATCCAACAGCATAATGATACCAAGCCTCACTATGAATGACACATTTTCTAATCTTTCTAATCTTCAAGCACATTTTCTCCATCTTAATCTTGTGATCATCGACGACATCGGCAACATGCAACTCCAATTCCATCTTCTCCCCCTCAATTCTTTTCAATTTTTCTTTCAAATCCTCGTTTTCTCTTTCAACTAAATTTAACCTCTCGACAATATGGTCGGTTGGAATTTCCGATTCAACTACCTCCTACATACAAATATCTATGTCAGCCTGATGGGCATAATTTATCATAAACACGAAATGCAACAAATAGTTTTAAAAGAGAATATACCACATCCGAATCATAACAAGGGCGAGGGCCGACGGGGACGGATATCAAAACCATGGCACTATGTATAACAAACAACGTACGGGTAAGATAATTATACGAGTAACTATATATCCAAATCACACAAACATCAATTTTTTATATAAAATTTCATAAACAAGAGGCTCACCACAAGGTGGTGCCGACGACGGGACGGTGCGGGCGATCAACGGTGGTTACGACGGAGATTTAGAAGGCACTAAGTAAACCACACCTACATATGCAAACTAAGTGTTATTTTGACCTCAATTTGCATATAAATCAGATACTACCACATATAATTCCTCCCAAATTACTAAAACCCACAATTAATCACTATATAAACCAATGCAGGAGCTAATCTAGCAATGAGAAATGAAAGGACAAAGTTGCTAACCTTTGTGATCATTCGAATGGATGGGGGCCTGCAAATCTTGACAAATTTGGGGCAAATTTTGTGATGAACTCGAAAGGAAGAAGGGAAGAACAGAGGAGAGGGAGAGGGGAAAGGGGGAAGAACAGAGTGCTGGTGGACGAAGGGTTTATATAGGACGACCTTTAGTACCGGTTCGTGGCACGAACTGGTACTAAAGGTGCTGGAGGGGCCCCACTCTGACAACATCCTGCCACCACTCTCATTAGTACCGGTTCATGGCACGAACCGGTGCTAAAGGTTCGCCACGAACCGGTACTAAAGAGCTCCTCCCGCCTAGCCGTTGGACCCGGCACTAATGGACACATTAGTGCCGGTTCGCACATTTGACCCTTTTTCTACTAGTGATGCTATGTTTAATGTTTGGTTAAAGGATTTCAATAAGAATGAAAAGAACTTTGTAGTTGCTGGGATTTCTGCTATATTTTGGACAATTTGAAAATTAAGAAATGGTTTTTTTATAGCAACAAGGTTATCATGTTATTATGTGCGGAATAAGAAAAGTTGTGAAGATCGCTGGAGAGGTCTTACAAGATACACTTGGCTGGAGGATGATCAACATGATTACTGCTGGATGAAGAGTGAGTCCGTCTTCCAGGCTGAACCTTTTAAGATGTCATCGGCTGTTTATCTTATTATCTCTCTGCACTTTTTGTTTAGTTGCTTGTTTTGAACTGCTGTCCGTTAATCCATATCCCGGGGATCCGGATTGTGGACTCCTAGGGTGATGGAGCCTGGAGTCTGGTTACCTTGTGGGTTAGACTGGCCATAGTGGAAGTAACATCATTAGTAACATCACATTTTTCAAAATAATTTTACTTATGTGGCACATATTTAATGATAAGAGAGTGATGATGGTAACTTAGCTAGTTACTGTAACATCACACATACCAAGATGATATGAGTCTATAGGATAATAAATGAACCATAACATGTCAACACACATATGTTACTACCCACTATGAGGATAGTAACATAGCCTAGTAAAATATGATGTTATTAGTCTAAGTTACTTCCCATTGTGACTAGTCTTATCGGCATGCTAGTTAATACCCTTTTTGTGATCTGTGCGGGCAGGTGAGGCTAGCTCATGCTGCCCACGTAGATCATACATCGTCAATCTTCTTTGCTTTATGTTGGTCCCGGTAGATGTAAGGCATTGTGGTTTCTTCTAACAGAAATCGAAGAGAAAGTTCTCTTTATCCAAAAAAAAACATGCAGAGCTATTTTTTGACACAGACACATACACTCATATATACACTCACATTTATAAACGCACACACGTACACCCTATCCTCGTGAGGACCTCCGAGAGAGTGAGTCGACACAGACACCTTCGTAGACCGTAGTCAACGGAAGGTCTCTTCCCACTGAATGCACGTCACCTGAATGCCTGAAATAAATCTAATAAATGCGAGCACGAGCGTCTAGGAGTTGAACCCTGATGAGCTAAGATAGCAATGACCTCCTACCCATCCAACCGAACCTTGCTTCGCAAGCAAGTAGGAGCTAGTAGCAAATAAGCTAGCTAAATTTGTTTCGGTCGAAATCCAGTTGGGACTTTCGTGAAAGCGTCACCATAGAACCGACTTATTTGGGGGGAAAGGACACCTAAAATGCGTACGTGCACGGTTCATCTATACAACAACACGGACTAGCTGGCAGCTTAGGCAATCAGAGTACACGCAGTGTCCACTAGTAATTGTACGTTTCATTTCACATGCCAATCAATCGTTCGGCAGTTTCTTGCCGCTTTTCGCGCCTACTAGTAGTAAAACTGGAAGGACGTCGACCCGGAGACATTCATGTGTAGCTTCAGCGCACCCAGCATCCGTTTCTTTGCAACTGGATTTGGCTAGAAGTTTTTCTCGGCGTCTTGAATCTCGATCCTGGAGCGGTGGCAAGCACTGGTGCCCGCATATGCATGCATGCACCGACTCGGGTAGATCTATCTAGCCAATTCACCGTGCAATAAGATTTCTTTTATATGTGCTGCCGTGCGTTGTTTGAGATGGATGTGTACTGTCTGGTCGCCGGGTTAAGGTTGTCGTGTGCGCCCCCCTTCCTCCGCCTCTCCACCTTTCTCTCTCGTATTTAATACGCCTCGGGCCCTCTTCAGCCCTCACCCCTACATGTCCACCCCTCTCCCCTCCCGCCTCCCACCCAGCCCATCTTCTGTCCCTGGTAGACATTCCTTCCTGATCTTGCCTCGCTCTTGTGCTACCTCCACATCTCATCTCCCCATGGACGGCGGCGCCGCCACCGTCTGCTCCATGTGCGGGGACATCGGCTTCCCCGACAAGCTCTTCCGGTGCGCGCGCTGCCGCTACCGCTTCCAGCACTCGTAAGTATTCCTCCACTGCCCACACCATCCGTCCATCTCTTCTTCTTCCTCCGCCCCTTCTTGATATGAATGGATGAGGAACTCTCATGGATGAGGGAACAAACACTAGCTAGTATATGTTTGTTTTCTAGCTAATCTTGCAGTAGTAGTAGTACATCTTTCTCATATATGCGGTGCTTGCATGCAGCTATTGCACGAACTACTACGGCGACGGGGCACCGGCCTCAGCCGGGGCCGACATGTGCGACTGGTGCCTCGGCGACGTCTCCGGGAAGGCCAGGAGGAGCGCGTCTACATCCGGGAAGCAGCAGGCCTCCGTCTGCCAGGATTCGGCCACGACGGGCTACTCCGGCAGGATCGACAAGGCGGCAACCGGCGGCGACCAGGAGAGCGGGCGGCGAGGGTCGACCAAGGTGGGAGGCCGCAGGTACAAGCTGCTCAAGGACGTCCTGTGTTAGAAACTAGTTTTAGGCGCCATCTTGCAGGCCTGATCGAGCATGACCGATAAGTAAGACCAGCTAGTTATGAGGAGTTAGCTTGTAGCCAAGGTCGGTAGTTATATTAGTTTGATCGATGTGCATATATGAGTATTGTATATGTTTGTTTGCTTATGTGTTACTTAGGAGTAAGCATCTGCTCGCTTATAGTAAGTACTCTGGCTTGGCAAACCTTATCTTATGCTGTTTGTGTGGCCACAGTTTATCTAGCACGTACTCTCTTGTTCTCTTGTGCCGGTAATCTTTCGTTTGTTCACATTGGATGCATGCTTACATACTCCTAATTGGTTTTCTCTACCGCATGTTACGTGATTACTTTGCTGTCCTCTTCTCAACTCTGTTCTTCAAACACTCGTGCATCGTGCATGAATCGAGTGGTAATGACAACGAAGTCGCCGTACGTTGCGTATATATGGGGAATTAAGGATGCCATAGTCCCAATACCTTGCATCTCTAGGAGTCTAGGTACTAGCACGCATGGTGCGTGCATGCATGCATGCATCCCTAGCTGCTGTTCCCGGCCGTACACGCATGTACCAGTGATTTCCCGAACCCAAGGCCGTGGGAGAGGCCGGCCGGAGGCCGGAGCTAGGTAGCACGCTGCATGCTGCCAAGGCGATCGAGCCGGCCGGCCAGCCACGGCCAGGGTCGATGCATGTAGCAGTCAACGAGTCGTACCGGGCAGGACCGGCCGGTGGAAGTGGCCGACAAACCCATGCGTGCTCCCCTCCACTTGCATGCGCTGCTAGGTTAATTATCCCGCGCCTCTGCGTGCATGGCTGCCTAGCTAGCTCGGTCGTTAATTAGCCTCCAAATCTACACCTGATAATAAGTTAAAAGAGATAGAGATATGCAGTGGCTGACAGGTTTCTATGCCACTCTCAGTCTTCTCCTCCTTTTATACGTACTAATCTTGTTCGATTTGCTCGTGATGCCCTGTCCACGTCGATCGATTCGATGGTACGCGTATAAGATTCAGATCTCTTCACACAGTAAAACTAAACGTACCTATATATGGCATGGCCCATCTTCAGGAAAAGGTGATTCTTTTTCCAGTTAAGCCGGCCTCAGCTGTTAAGACCGGGAATTAATAGTGCGCACTACGTAGACGAGCACACACGTACAGCTGTGCTCGCCGGCCCACGGTACCAATGCTGCCGACCCTACCGTGCATGTGTGAACCTGGTTCTTTTTAGGTGTCATGTAGCAAGAAAGACCGGACATTGCATTGTGGCCACCTAGCTAGCTAGCTAGCTAGCTAGGTTTCTTTCCACTCGTCTTCTTTCGTGGGCCTTAAGCTAGCTTTCTTGCGACAGCTATAACCTATAAGCCATTGTAGCACGCATCCAGCTAACCACTTACTACATTCAGCATACCACTCAGATCCTACTTAGTAGTCGATCAGCATGCACATTACACAGTTGCACACAAGTATTAAGCTGGCCGTGATATGCTTCCATACTATTCGTGCCGCTAGATATTTCTTGATGGTGCACTACACATATAATCCTATATAGGAGGCCTCTATATGTAGCCTGTGATCAGTTTGAGCAGATAAGCTGTGGAACACTGAAAAGGTATTGCATTGAAGAGAATTGAATCGACTGCATGTTCTACTAGTTTCTACTACTAGCTCCTGCTCTGCTAGCCTATAGAGGCAGTACTCCACTCCCATGGAGAGAGAGAGAGAGAGCTATGCATGCATGGAGATGGAGGTGAGGTGTGTCCTTGACAACCAAGGTGGCACGATCACATGCATGCATGCATGCTCATTTAATGTGTGACCATTCGAGATACTGTATTTCCTTGCAGCTAGCGTTCCGGGGTTGATGTTCCCGTATTTTTTTGTTGATGTTTTGCTGTCCTGCACCTGCCATGCACGTAGCCTATGTATAGGTAAGCTTAGCGCAGCTAGGTGCATTATTTGAGTACTCGCATTATTTGCTTTCAGCTGACACGTGACCAGTGACAGGGACTGTGAGTATTGATGGAGTAGTTGGTGCTGCTGAACTTTCAGCCGAGAATGGCACACTCACTAGGTAGTTGCATTTACCTGAGTAATTCTATTCCGTCAGTAATTTACGGCAAAGATAGTAGGAGACAGTTAACCTGCTTGGTCAATTTGATACACTATTAGTTAAGCTGTATACAGTATAGAGCAGGTCAACCGAGATACACCCATATGTCATATGTGGCCTTTTTTAGCAGGGAAAGTATATCGATTAGTAGCTTGTTGATAAGCATGACTGCAAGATCGTACTCTCATGTGTCTAATCTTCGTGTGGATAAGAAAGACCTCGAGTCATCGTCAACCTGGGACTTAGCTCTGGGTTTTGAGACGGGGCCACTTTCTGAAAAGCTAGCGCCGTACAGCTATTACAGCAATGCAGTGTACGGCTCTAGCTACCTTCGATCTGGTGGAAGGTGTATTCTGTCTTGTTGCTTTGCCTGGAGCATTGGAGTAGTTGTAGAGTACTAGTACTACGTACCTCCAGCTGGATTTAAATACCGTGAACGGACGCAGCTAGGTAGCTCCAGCTCCAGTATATCCGGATTCTTTTCTAGAATGGGTATATCCGCATTTTACTTCACGTCCTTTACCTTTCTTCCCCAGCGTTTAGCGTATGTTCTCAAGGCGCCCGTCTGTCTCCTGCATGTTCTGGACCTCAGAAAAATTACCCATTCTAGGCGTCCTACATTAGTTTACAGAGAAAGTATGTGTGTATCATCATCAGATTATTTGTTACAAGATTGATATGTTGGCAGTCTGCCATGTATAACATCCCATACATATATCTTCATTTTAGATAAAAAATTCAAGGTAATTTTAGATAAGTTAATATGTCTTCCTGCAAAGAAAGATAAAGTAAATATGTTTAAGAGACAAAACATGGGTTATCCATCAGAGGATGCTCAATTCCGCACATTGTACAAACCACGACACTCAAAGACGAAGAATGAGACACATGAAAGAAAGTGTCAAATATAAAGTCAAGAATAGCCACAAAGGAAAGAGGCCAAAATTAAGGTGAAGCCCACTAAGCCCCGTGCCCCCATACGTCGTGAAAATTGACAAATCTGGCCCTTTTTTGAAACTTTAACACAAAATGAACCTTTAAAACAAGTTCACAAAATGGTCCATTTGCATGACATCTGTTGCTGGGATGCCATGGTAGATAGCATCACGCCTGGGGCTGCGGCACCATGCAAGAGAGCACGACGCCCTGGGACGTGGCGCCATGCTATCTACCATGGCACTCCATGTTAGGTTGATCTCCTCCCGATCGAGCCCAACGGCTCGACGGGTCCTTGACTCGCGCCCTCGGGGGCGCCCAACCAAATCATGGTTGGTGGGCCCCTGTGACCCGCCCTACATAAACAGAGGTGGGGGGCGAGGCATGTTTCACGAGGTTAATCGCTGCCACAATCCTCACTGACACTCCCTTCCGATCTAGGGTTAGCGCGGCGCTCACGGGAAGCACAACACCGCCGCCATCTCTGTCCACATCGCCGCCGTCACCACACCACCATGGCCGGCGCTGGATCGAGCTCATCCGTACCCAAAGAAGGTAGGTTCCCGGATCTACTAGGCTACTCCGATATAAGGCCTATCAATGGTTTCAGAGCCAGATCGGGCTAGGTGATTTTGGTACAGAGAAGAAGAAAAAAAGAAAAAGAAAAAAAGGGAACAGAAAAGGAGATCCCCTCCCCAGGAACCCTAATCAGAGGGCAAAGGAAAGTTCACCGGCAGAGGGCCTCGGGCCTCGCCGGCAAAGTGCGCCGCCACTTCAGCCGCGCCATTCCTCTCGATCCCCACACGCATCGGCAAGCCGAGGTGCGGGGAAGAACACAGCCTCCCAAGGGGGCAAAAGGCACCACCACCGCACCGCTTGACGGCGGCGCACTCTACATCGGGAGCTCGCGCACACCGGCAAGGGGGGCAGAGGAGGCACCACTGCTTCACGACGTCTTCGTCCTCGGTGACACAGAGAGGAGGCGGTGGTGGATGGGGGAAAGAATGAGAAAGGGAAAAGGAGAGCACAACGCGGAACGGAGCAGTGGCCCTCGCCGCCGTCGCCAGCGGCCGGACTAGCCGACCAGGGCGCTGCCCCTTTTTCCCCGACAGGAGAGGAACAAAAAGAAGAAGGGAGGGAAGGGAGAGTAGGCGCGCGCGGTGCGGTGGTCTTCGACCCCATCGCCGGCGGCCGGACTGCCCGCAGCCGGTGGCCGCAGTGGCTCCCGACGAAGGAGCCAAAGAGAGCGGCGCGTGTGGGGACGGAATGAACTAGGGTTCGACGTGAGCGGCGAGATGTGGAGTTTTTGTTCAGGCTAGATCCGCTGCTGGCCGTTGGCTCGCATCGGACGGCTGCGACCGAAACCCTAGCCCCACAGTGGGCCGCTGGGCCGAAAGTAACTCCGGGCCGGCTTGCTGCGCTTGGGCTGCAGCCGCTGGCGGGCACTGGGCCGGGCCGTTCTCGGCCAGGCGCGACGCGCTTACGCACAGAGCGAGTGCGAGCAGGCCGCGGGCCAACTGCAGTTCTTTTAGTTTTTTTGTTTATTTGTCCAGATTTTCTGGGCAAATTTTTAAATAGTTTTTCTATGCGAAAATTTTGTATAGAAAATAGAAAAGTAAATAGAAAAGTTCTAAAAATGAAAATAGATAATTTTTAGAAAAAGAAATGTTCATGAATTTTTATAAAGAAAATAATAAAGTTCATAAATTTTTTAAGGAAAAGTTTCTGTAAAGAATTAAAAGTTCATGAATATTTTTCCGCTGCGTAAATAATTAATGCTCTTTTACACAGAAAATAAAAGTTTATATAGTATTAAGTTTTTTAAGAGCATGTTAAAGTGATTATTAAAATGAATATGATTATGTTATTTTTTATGACCAACGTTGTTTAATAACATGATCATGTTTTATTATTGAAATTTAAAGGTGCATTTATTTCTAATATTTT